CCCCTGTGGAAGCAAGGTAAATGTTGTGCAAACTCATGCCAAAGTCAAGGTTGTGAAACCAATTTCCCCCTTTTATGCAATGATGGGAGATGTTTTCACAATGTTGTTTAAGGGATAGGCCTTCTGGAACAGTTGACTTGGAAAAATCAAAACGATGCCATAACCTTAGGGTGAAGAAATTTGCACTTCTATTTCAATTGGGTATTTTTTTCATCCTCTTGTGCCATTGACATTCACCAGTCTTGACATCAGTGTAATTGTCTGACATCTTGGTGTTGTATTCATTCCATGTGAGGGCTTGCAATGCCTCCAACTCTTTCAAAACAGAGGTGTTCAGCACATTAGCCTTTGTGTTGATTCAAGGGAGCAGGGGGACAACTACAATGTCTGCATATCATTTTGGTGTTTGCAGATGGATAATGGCCACAGAGTTTGTTGTGCTGCTTGGTGTCACCAATGAAAAATGCTACCACAAACTTCATTTTGATGTTGAAAAGCTTCTCATTCCATGGACAATTGTGCCATCAAATATCATGGGAGGACTCACATATTTCTTTGAAAGAAGTGAAGGCAGCTTGTAAACCATCATGGAGATTATTGACATTGTCTACTGACTGGTTGCTTTTTTCCTGGGGATGAAAATATATTGTCTCACAAGCATTGGGTCTGGTAGTACTCTTATAGTTGCTGGATATCCCAAGGGTCCTGTTCAGAGGGCAAAGGGTTGTGCTTCCATGTCTTTCAATGGCAATACCATCCATCGAAAAAATTATTGGAATTAGTAGCATCTTGTTGTTATTTGTGACACACTTTTCCTTCCATGTTTCCAACCACCATTCCCTGTGATAGAGTTTGCAAATGAGAGTGTCTTGTGTCAGTTCAGGGTTGCTTCATGGAGAGGTTGGGTTTCTTTGGTTGGGAAACAAGAGATTCTCTTTCTTTGTTAAAGACACATTGGTAAGAAGAGAATGTAAAGCACATCAATATAACCTAACATGTATTTGTTTGTGACCTACTAAGACATGATTGCTGCAGTGCCAATCAATGGGTTGTACTTGCATCAAAACACCAATCACCACATAGTTTTGTTGTCTGTAGGATAGTACTATCAGACCGTGCGTATGACTCATATCTACGACAAATACATATGATACGTATCTATGATTCATGCACACCATACATATATGATTCACTCAATCCCACTGGATTCATATGATCAATATGACTCATTTCATTCACTTGCGTGAGTGACTTGACTCATTCGATTCTTCACACATCACTCGATCCTCTCAGTGATCGATTCTAGACTTCATAGTTTGTCGATCCTCAATACTAAGAGCATCAACTCACTTTTCTTCTAGCACACACTTTACATCACTTTTAGGACAGTCACTCCCACAGGTTATGAACTTTTAACATTAATCCAAAAGCTTTTGTCAGGTTCTTAATAAACAGCTTCCACGTCACAGCAGCACTCCAGGTAACAAGAAACAATCTGGGTAAATTCTCTGCTTGTTTCATGGCCCATTTGTAAAGTTCCTGGGATAGGGGGTTCTTTGTAAAAGGTAGTAAGCCTTCTGATGGTAATGATGTAGTTCAGTCCAAAAGTACTAGTACTTCTACTACTCTACTGGTTGTACAAAGTAATGTATTCAGTAGTAGTTCGAGCAGTACCAGTACTATCTTGACCTGCAGAAATAAAAAAGTGTGTCATCAGCATTATGTACCTTCTTACTACCGGTAGTTCAGAAAAAAGTACTTGCCAGAACGTACGTAATTGGATGCTCAACACACTCGTGCACCCTTAAATAATACATACTTAAGACCCCGATAAGACGTACTTTCGCATGAACCCAAAGAGAAAGTGTACAACATGTACCAAAAAAAGAACGTACGTACTCGCAAAGTAGCGTACGGTATCTTACGTACTTTGTTCTCTATGAACTACGTACGCTAAGTACATCGAGCCTCTGCCGTACTTAACGAAGTCAAGAATAAAATACCAAGTACTTCGAGTCAAAGAACGCTCATATCGTTTCTGAATGCCGGAAGACCGTGATTTTACGCTATGAGTTTGTCGGAAGCACCGACTGGCTTCTTGATTGGATCAGCACTTTTGCAATGTTAGCATATTTGTTTTGGCTCATAACCCTTTTATCTTTAGAACGATCAATGGAAACACGTAGTGGTCTTTAGGCAAATTCTTCCGCCCAAGGTGGTGCGCCATCTCTGGCAGTTAGATCGCGGATGACATCAGTCAGTGTCAGAAGATGTTTGACATATTAATTTTTTAGCACGACGCGATGATACCAAAAGATCAAAAAGACAGTTGGGAAGATTTTGATGTGTTTGTACGTGCCTCCGAAGTTAAGTACGGACCATTTTTTTGTCTTTTCAATGTTTTTTGGACGAGATTGATGTCTGTGTCAGCGAATTTCTGAAGTGACGTTCGAATGAAAAATTGTAAAAACTTGACACCTCAGTTCATGTCACAAGTTTCGTCCATATGAGGCAGGGTTTACGCCATTTGGTAACCTGTTCTTTCAACTGAAGTTGATGTATCGTCCAGTTACAAACCTATCCCCTCTGTGAATGCCACCTCACTCACTGCAGAGGGTGTTTCTTTTGAACTGCAAGTGAGTGTATTAAAAATAGATTATTAATGTTGAGAAGCGTGCCCTGTTCGTTCTCTGCACTTTGAAAGTCTACCGCGAACTTTCAATTCTTCAGTCCTGTGATACAAGGTTTACGGTACGCTCCAGTTTCCTACCGTGTGTGTATCTTTCAAACTATCGCCTCAATTGCTCAATGGACTACGTGTTACTGCCTGACAAAGACTACGTACGAGTTATCAGTGTTCGTGAAACCGTAATTTAGAAAAGAATGCATTCGTTTTCCGAAACCGCCTCAATCTAAACACATCAATTTTTTCCGACCTCAAGATCGACGTTCAAGCTCGCCTTTGAACTATGGCCTAACTAACCATCACTGCTTGTACTCCTTTCTTTTCTGAACTTAAGAAAACAAGTTTTACCCCGAAAGCCGATCAGCACAAAACTAGTGCCGATTGCTTCGTCTCATCAAATCTCTCAAAATGGAGTTCACCACCCCCAGCATTTCAAGTAGAGGCGCCCTCAGTGGTTGCAAGACGAGTCCAAGGTATACAAATACACCACCAGACAGAGCCGCACCACCCTTGCCATCTAATTGTGGCTTTCGTCTTCAGCCTCGGAAGAATATTCCTAATCTCGCGAGTCCCTCTCCAGGGCGCAGCTTTTCGTCGTCAGGTAGCAGAGGGCGGAAAAGAGGTGCTCAAACAATGGTATCGACCTTTGGTGATTCCAGTCTGTCAGTTCCCAAAGCCCTCTTCACTCCTGTTTCCACACTGGATGATACGAGTACGAATGCATCCATACTACTTTCACGACCAAATGGGCAAAGTCTTGAATCGCCCATTTCCATGCACCGTGCAATGAAATTCATGTCCATCAAATCACCAGGACTGTCCACTCCGTTGTCGCAGCAATCCACCTTCCGGGAAAAAGAAAAAACTTCTCCTTTCATAGTGTTTTCACCCTCGTTGAAACCCAATCCGTACAGCAGTGCACAACGCTCACTTCCAAGAGCCGGGAGTAGCTGTTCGATGGACTCTTCCACAAAAGCTCCACACTCCATGGTTTCTTCTCCTAGACTTCCTAACGCGTACACGTCACCACGAAAGAAAACTTCTGGGATCAGCAGCATCAACAATGGCGAACTCGTTTCCACGCCACGCTCTTGCTCCCAAACAGCGAATCTTTCGAAGACTCCAGCAACCCCTGGAAGCGTGAGGACACTCCCTTCTCCACGCGCTACCCCGCTGCCACGGTCAATGCGCCTCACACCTCGGTCGAGACGTGGTAGAGACAGTTCATGTAGCGATACGTCAATCTTCCTTTCACCCAATGAGAACCTCCACCAGTCTACGCCTGGAAAATTAGGGCCGGTCATATTATTTGAAGGAGAGCCGCAATCTTTAAAGCATAAGGCTTCATATGCTCCATCACCATATTCCTGTTCGAGATCATCCGTTGCACCAAGAACAGTCATAATTGAAAAAACTCCTGCTACCGAAGCTAGGAAGGAGTCACCAGAAGGATGCGTTCGAGTAGAAACTCGGTCGCTTCTGGGACCACAAGATTCTTCTCGCTTCATCTCGGATCTAATTGTATCAGCTAACGCTCGTTCTGCAGCGTTCGATTGCGATGGATCGTTGTCAGACGACGAAAGTGGCGAGCACTTTGTGTTGGCGAATCCTACAGCACTAGCTCAGGAACGAGATGCATTGAATATGCCGCCTCCCCGACCTAGTAGACGCCGTAGAACGTCTTCAGCATGTGAATCTGAGATGCAAAGCAATGATTCTACTCCTTATAGGGATGCAAGTAGCCAATCTACGACCCCAAATCAAATCATTGTACCAGAAAACAAAGAATGGGTTCTCAACTGTGATCCCATCTCACGACCGATTGTCCCAATGAAGTCACTAGGTACCAGGTGCGGTAGGAAAGATTCCTGTCGGCTTGAACCCATTGAGAGCAGTTCATCTTTGGCAGGGCTTGCTTGCCTGACGGCAGCAAACAGCGAGAGACCTCAGACTCCCCCAACGATTTCGAATGAACTTACTCACTCTCTCCCCCTGAGTCCGTCTTCAAGGTCGTCAACGTCCACCGTTCGGATATCGAGGTCTGATGCAAATAACGTGCATCTAACCATTGCTAGCATGGCCGCGGTCCATCAACAACACCATTCGCCTTCTCTCATGACATGCAGTAGTTGATGAAGAGGCTATTCCCGTCACGTTTCTCCTCTGTTCACACCATCCAAGAATTCATAAAACCAAAAAATCCCACTGAGAGCTGTGCAATTTTCAATGACGCTAAGAATATTACATTTAAAATGCTGTAACTACGTAGAGAATTGAATTATGAATTATACATACCTACATTCTCGATTAATTTTCTTTCATTCTAATTATATTACACCGGCACAAAAACCTGTTTTCTCGACTGAAACCGAAAGGGCTGTTATTTCTTTGTAGAATTCGAATTGCAGGTCTATCAAAAGCACGAGTGTTACGTTTTATGTAGTAGTTGAGAACGAAAAATAGTCAAATACTGTTACACATCGTAATATTTACACATCAGACAAGGCAGCAACTCCTGGCAGTGTCTTTCCTTCCAGGAGTTCAAGGCTTGCACCACCTCCCGTCGAAATGTGCGAAACCTTGTCTCCTAACCCTGCTTGGTTAATCGCTGCAACAGAGTCTCCTCCTCCCACAATAGTGATAGCACCTCTTTCTGTCGCCTCAGCCAACATTTGAGCGACAGAGTTTGTTCCTTCAGCAAAGTTACTCATCTCGAAAACACCCATTGGTCCATTCCATACAATAGTGTTGCATTTTTCGATTTCCTCTTTAAACAATGCGATGGATTCAGGACCAATATCAAGTCCCATCCAATCACCACTCATTTCATTGACCTTGGCGATCGCAGAGTTTGCATCATTATCAAATTTGTCGGCTACAACAACATCCGTAGGAAGGACGATTTTCACACCCTTTTCTTCCGCCTTTTTCAACAAGGAAGCAGCCAAGTCGATGATATCCTCTTCGACCAAGGAGCCTCCAGTTTCGTATCCCAGCGCTCGATAGAACGTGAAAATCATACCGCCTCCGACCAAGATCGTGTCACACTTTTCTAACAAAGATTCGATGACAGGGATTTTTGTAGAAACTTTGGCCCCGCCGACAATTGCCATCATTGGCTTGACAGGAGCATCGACGGCACCTTGTAAATATTTAAGTTCCTTGTCTAGCAAAAAGCCTGCCGCTGACTCTTCCATGAATTCAGTAACTCCGGCGGTACTGCTGTGCGCCCGGTGGGCAGTTCCAAAGGCGTCCATGACAAAATAATCTGCCATTTTACCCATACCCTCTGCTAATGTCTTATCGTTTTTCGTCTCTCCGATGTCAAAACGAGTGTTCTCTAGTAATAGAACTTCTCCCTTTCCAAGGTTGCTTGCGGCTTCTTCTGCTTCAGCTCCGATTACTGTATCAATTTTTTGTACAGGGGTTCCGAGGAGTTCTTCCAAAGGTTTAACGACGGGATTCAATCTTCCATTTTTGCCAGTCTCGATAATTTCGCCTTTGGGTCGACCGAAGTGACTCATCAAAACCACGTTAGCACCCTTATCCAGCAGAAACTTGGTAGTAGGGACGATGGCACGCAATCGCGTGTCATCCGTGACGGTCACATCGTCCTGATGGATAAGTTGAAAGAGAGATGGATTAGAGGATGAGTTGACAAACAAAAAATGTATATTTGGGGAGCATCATCAAAAGAAATGCCGTGATAACAATATGATAAAGGGTCGAACCACATACCTTCGCAAGGGGGACATTTAAATCGACTCGAACCAAGACATTCTTCCCCTCAAGATCGACTTTCTTGGCAAGGCCTTCGACGTTCAATTTCTGCCAACAAGGCAGAGACCCATGAAATTTTCTACGGAAAGCAGCAGCAGCGGTGTTGTTGCTGCGGGTGAGAAACTTCATAGCCATAGGAGAGAACATTGTCGCTGTCTTTTGTAAATTGTTAATTCACTTGAGATTCTAGGGTGGGATGATCTGTGGTTGGAATTCATCACCCACAATTCGAAAAATCCTGGAAGTTATTTGCGGTCGGGAATGAGACAGGGAGGATTGACCGAGAGGGGGGGGTATGCGGTCAAGAGGAAGTTTTTAAAATTTTGATTACCGTTGATCATCAAAAATCAAAAACCGCTTTGGCGATGGCGCGAAGGATTTTAAAAAGCTCGTAGTTCGTATACGCTACTGGGATGACGTGTTAATATCAACAATTTTTAATCTTGATAATCCGGGACTCGATAAAACACGTATGTGTTTCAGGTGTTCTCAAAAACTTGTTTTGATACTGCGCGAAACTGTACGGTATGGTACATACATTACGTGCAGGCGAGCTCCAGCGCAACGATCGAAGTGCTGATGATGTGTAGAACGTAACTGATCTGCTTTGCAACGAGTTGTCTGAGACAGATTTGTTGTGTGGTTCGTCGTCTAGATGTCAATCCATGTCTCGACGACAACGACTTCAGTCGAAGGACTTCAACGACAATTGCAGCACACAATTATAATTCTTCAACGGATACACAAGAAATCAAAATGAAATTTTACCTCGCCTCCATCCTTGCTCTTGTTGGTTCCTCCAATGCGTTCGCGCCTGCTGCAAAGCAATCTGTGCAAAGTGAGTTGATTTACTGTCGGTAATCTGACGACCAGTTGTTGCGAGACGGCTCCGCGACGCTTTATCTACGTGCAATGGTTGGAGATGGGAGGGCTTCGTGGAGGATGTTTGCCTTAACAAAACCATACAAATGCGATTTGCTTAGAAGCGTTCAACCTAAGACAGTTATTGACGACACTCTCAAATGTACCGTCAGAGGTTTTAGGCTTCTTTAAGACTCACCCAAAATTTCTCATTCTGCTAATTGCCTTTCCGTAACCTCCCGATTCAAAAATGCGATTTTATTGAACTTGTGACTGCCCTTTATTTTGATCAAAATTAAATACATTGACACCGATTGTCAATATACCAAAAGCATCTCTCCAAAGCACCAGCTCGAGAGGTGAATTTATGAAGCAAATTGCCACTTCTTTTGTCATCGCCGGAGGACTCTCTACTCTTGCCCCTGAGCCCGCCAATGCCGGATGGGCCACTGGACCTGGAAGTGCTGTTATCGATCCAAAGGAGTCTATTATCGATGATGAAATTTTCAGAACCGCCCCTGTTCAAAAAGCTCTGAAAGCCGTCAAGAATTACGCGTCTACCGTTACAGAGATGAAGAAAGCTCTCAGCGCTAATTCTCAAGTTGATTTGAAACCAGTTCTGAGAAAGGAATTCGAATTTTCTGCTCTGCGTAGCGATTTGAATACCCTGAACACCGCCTTCGACGAAGACACACAGCGAGGTACCGACCGATTGATCCGAGTTATTCTTCAGGATCTTAATGAGTTGGAGGTTGCTAATGCGCAAAAAGAAGGAATCCCTCGAAGTGATATCCGTTTGGCCAAAATGAATGGAAAACTCGAGAAATTGCAAACTGCCTTCGACACACTGCTCCAATTCTCACCTGCTGCCGTTGAAATCAAGGCACCCGAGCCACCCGCTCCTGCCCCCACGACAGAAGCCGTATAATACCCTCATTCCCTCGCACAATCTTTTTATCATTCTGTTTGACACAGAACAAAAACAACCATTTCCTTTGCTGAAAGTCACTACTGGTCATAGCATTTTAACTTCACTAGGTCAGATCCTTCTTTCTTTCATCTCTCTGTAAAATAATAGTTTCTCCACCTAAGTATCAGATTTTCTTTCGTTGGTATCGATTACTGCTACCATACTGAATTCATGCTGTGGCGGACAAGTTTAGCATGGGCTATGTTTTCTATGCACGTACAGTTTCAAGACGACAACCATGAATTGTAATTGCGGTCGCTGATTTTCTATTTCTAACCGTCGAGATCAAGCAGTATGCAAGATCAGATGCAAAACTTAGATGCATGAAGCCACAACAGAGAAGACCAAACTATAGTTGTTGTATACATAAGCCAAGTTGATGGAACAGTTGCAATTAAGAGAGGCAAAAATAGAGAAAGCTACTAGCTGGGAAACCGCAATGAAAAGCAAAGCAGATCATGGATACTATTATTTTTGAACTAAAAGAACACACCAGCAGAATTGCTTTATCAACAATTGAGAGAACTTCTACCATCATTATGTGATGTTCTCTTTCATCACAGAAATTATCATGTTGAAACATCATAATCAGCATAATCACAATCGTAGTTGTAGTTGTAGTTGTAGTTGTAGTTGTA